ATTTGATAAAACTATTGTTTATGAAATTTAAATTAAACGTATTAGAAATATTTAAGGAAATTTAAACATAAACATTTCTAATTAATGTTAATATTTCAAATAAAAAAATACAAAATTTAAAAAGAACTTCAAGTATACAACCATAAGTTTTATACTTACTAAGACTAATATTATTCTATATGAAATTTACTCATTATATGTATTTAAAATAAAATATATATAATGAATAATATTGGAAAATGGGATGGAGTGGTGAATTTAAACTAAGTGTTTTGATTATAGCTTCATAGTTAAATACTATGGTTGTGGCTTTGTAGAATAGAGAATATGTTTTTGGTATGTGTTAATGATATCACATGTTTGTTAAATATGCTCATAATCTTCTACACTTGATTTATTAACTATAGTATTGTGTTTGGTAGTATTTAAAGACAATACTTATTATTTTACGTATGTATATTAATGTTTGTTTCTTTGATTTATTAAAAGTACATAATCGTATGCCTTTTTGTAAAACGTTTGCTATAATACTCAAAATTTACGTAAAAGAATTCTATATTTATACAAATAAGAACAATCAACATGTGTATTTAATTTATATTTTGTTGTTTCAAGAGATCAAACGCAATACTTCATTATGTTAATTATTGGAACAATAGACCGATTTTTGCTTAACTAATATTTTGAAACCAATAATTTATATTTTATTATTGTATTTGACTGGGTTCGATCATATATTTTTGGGTTTATTTATGCTAAGACATTACAAGCTAATTGTTTGTACAAGACTCACGTTTATATTTATCTTTACTGAATGTATGATATATACGTGAATACATATAATTATATATTTTGACTTCTATTAACTGGTTTGTTTAATGTTATGTAATTTGGTTAATTGTTACTGACAATTTTTCGAGAAAATAGTGCATTATAATGTAAAATATATTTTTAACTTCTTGTTTGTTTGTAAACTAAATATACAAGACATATATTGATTTATATAGTAGGGTTATTTAATAATGAATTGTTTTAATTGATTGGTATATGATTTATACTGTTTAAAAAATTTATATTTATGTTGTCTAGTTATAGTATGAATTTTTGTATTAAAAATTTTTTAATATTATTATAGAAATGGTCTTTATTAAAGACATAAAATTCTTTAAATTTCCCTAAATATTTAATTTTACAACTTATCAATATAATATTTTGATTTTTTAAATATTTTATCGCGAAATATTTATATAAAACATTTTTTAATTAAGTGACACTAGTTTGCATAAAGTTTTTATGTTTTCATAAAGTCTTAATATGGAGAAATAATAAAGGTATAAAAGAATCAATAACCATAAGGATGTAGTAGGAAGGCAGCCAACATTGAATAAAGTTCTATCTCAACTATCGGCATACGTCACTGGTATAGCATAACTAATGAAAAAATAGATTAATTAAAATATTTATTTTTCTTTCTAAATATGGGATTTTATATGTCTTTTTGTGTACGATGGTAGTTTTAACATGCATTCTTATTGTAATATTTCAAATTTTATTATGTATCCTCCTTATTCAATAGGTGCTATAGATAAATCATCTGTTTTTGTTTTAAGTTGTTAAACTCTGATAATTTATTTTGAAACTACAATTTCAGTGTTTTGTTTTATGGTCATGGGAATATGCAAGCTTAAATATGATTTACTTGATTGTATAAATAAGATTGTTTATTATTGAAGAATAAAATTGTTGTTAGTTATGTTTCACGATTTTAAGGTTATAAATGGTGCTCTGTACGGTAATATTTTATTCTCTTAACTATATGTAAGTGCTTGTTTACATCCTGACGCAATTTTACATAAATTACCAAATTAGGCAAAAATAGTTTCTGTTGAAAAAGTACATAATATTTTGTTTGTATAGAAAATAGAGAGAGATAATAGATCGCCCACTATATTTGTATTTTAAGTATAAGTATGTATAGCTGTTTTCAGCACATTACAACATTATAAATCATATTACCAGGTTGCATTCTTATCTCTCCAACACTTTACAAATATGATTTTATGTATACAAATATCTATATATTTATTATCGTACGGTAGCTTATCGTGCGCTTGGTACGGATACGTTTATGATAAATCACTATTTTGTATATAAGACACTACAAAAATCAAATTCTAGTACTCTTTGCACACATTACGTTCATAAGAAGCATATTTACCTTAAAACAAGTAGACAACCAAATTCTTGTTTATGCACAAAATCATCGCAAATAACATCACTATTCACATACAAAGAACTATGAGAGTTTCACAGTTATCCCATTTGCTATAAACTTAAAAATATCGTATTGAATACTTCCGCAATCAACCACACTACAATATCACTTGATTTGTTAGGTTGGAGCAACTGATTATTCATATTATCACTAAAAATGCCACTTTCACCGTTAATTTGAGTTTCCTTTGCCATCTTATAGTTCATTGTTCTCTCTATATCCTATGTCACTCTCGATGTATAAATTTTACCCTAGTAAAACTATTGTTACTAAGGTTCTTTGTCCTTTCTACCACACTAACTGTAAAGGAATCTTTTTGGCATCCTCAAATGTGTCATGTTTGCTCATTTGTATTACACTTCTTTCCTTGTTACTTCAATCATTTTCTACTATTTGATAATAGTACCTGTACTGTCTATTGACGACTCCGGTTTCATTCTTATGGTTCTCAAAATACTGCTTCCCTCATAGTCACTGTTTGATAGGGGTGACACTTTTAGTGATATCACGAATAGTCACTTGCTTCTATTCAACAGATAGCATGGTGAGCAATATTGAAGCATAGTCACCAACTGAACTTGACATGTGATATATCAATTAACGACTATTTAAAAAATTTTCCCTAATTGCCCCTGTAATATGATGGTGGTTATTTGGTCATGTATGCTCTATTTACTTAGGATTAACTGTGATGAAGATGCAAATTACCAGAAACTCAAGGCTGAATACGATAAGTTAAAAACTGTTGATACAATGAGTCCCTCAAAGAAATATCATGATAAATTGGTGTTATTTCCTGATGTCAAATGGAAGGACAAGATTATTAAACTCGTGTTGACAGAGATAAACAACATTGACAATAGCATAAAAACGGTTAATGAGTTAAGAACAAATGCTTCTCTGATAAACATGATAAAGAATAGAGTTATCAGGTTGCTGACAACTAGTGCGAATCAAGAGAACTCAGACAAGGCTGACATCGTGACGTTCTTTACTACTGACAGTTGTAGTGTAGAGAAAGTCGAGGCAGCAATAAAGCAACTAAAGGCATTGATAGAAAAACAAGGAGATGCAATAACACGATTGATGTATGAAGAAGTAAAGAAGGCAATGACCAAAATGGGAAAGGATTGCAAGTTAATAGCAAAAGAAAAACGCAAAATCCTGAAAAAACATTTCCTGCAACTGCCGTATTTTAGGCCCATTAATATTGATAACAAGAGCGAAGTCACTACTTATATGTATGTGACATTTACAATCGGAAGCAAAACGATGAAGTCGGAGATAATAACAATAACAACAAAGAAAGAAAAAACACAAACAATACATGACCTGGAAGAGTATGAGATAAAAATAACAAAGAAGAAAAAAACATCAAAAAAGAAAGAAACATCAAAGAAGAAAGAAACACCAAAGAAAGAAATATTAAAAAAGAAAGAAACATCAAAGAAGACCAAAATATTAGTGGCTATCGTATTGGTTGTTGTGGGTGTAGCGATATTATCAATAGGAACATTAATATTAATAAAGAAAAGGAAAAACACAGAAGAAACATTGGACCTTTGAATAATGTGAGAAAGAAATAATTAGGGTAATAAAGAATTGTTATTGCTCTTCATATTGATCCTAAGTTAAAAGAAGTGTTTAATCAAAATTAAGGGTTTCTAAGCGTGGCTAAATTAGTCATTTTGGCCAATTGGCCTATTTTTCTTAAGTATTTCTATTGGAAAAAGTGTCCTGTGAATCATTTTAATCCCTAATTTTAGGTTTGAA